TTCTTTATTTCTACGTTTCTATATATATTTACGTGTGCGTGCGTGTTTGTGTGTGTGTGTGTACGTGTGAGCATTATGTGTGTATGTATGTTTTCCTATTCGGTCAGTCACATTTATTTTGGGATTGTTGTAAATATACTGTCATATACATCTAAATGTGCTTTGCTTTGAAGTCAGTTTTTTGCTCGGATATCAACTTCATTGCTTGTCCATGCAAGTTTTACGGTCATTGTGAAACTTACTTATCAATATGACCTGGTGATTTGCGGATGTTTGTATCTATAGATAGGCATTTTATAGTGTACTAGCTGGCTTTACTAGAGTAAATATCGAGACTTAGACTCTGTCCTTGCAGGCGACGACCGCACCAAGACACGGTTCGGTTCAAAATTTGCTCTTAGATGTGAGGCTTGTTAAAGTTGCGGCTCAAGACCTGCAAAGCTACCCTGCACGATCTCAAGATCGGATATATTTACTATTACATCGACCACTGAATTTACCATCTTGGAGAAATAGAAATGGGCTAGGGAAGTATTCGCCCGCACCAAACGGAATGTATAAATTTATCACATTGACCGCGGAATATTTAAATTTATTGGCAATAAGGCGAACTGTAGTTGGAAGTGGTTTCTGTATCAATGATAATATCCTCCTGCGCAGCGGTAAATTAGATAGTCCTGCGAGTATTTTTTGTATTTCAATGTAACGCGTATCAATGGCACGTCTTGATTTGGAACTTATTCTTCTCAGTGTGCAAAATCGATTCTGCCATATATAGATACTGCACAAAATATTAGTCAGTGCAAATCACACCAAAAGCCCCCCTAAATGCGCGAATTCTTAGTGCAAGTTTACCTCTACTTCTTGCCATAAATTTGCAGAAGATATTACTGGATGCTATGTGTGTTTCTACCCCATACGAGAAGCTGTGATGGATTCAACCGCTGCTTTTCGCTTCATTATACTCACGGCTTTTAGCACACCACTGCGGTGAATATAGTTTGTGTGGCGCGTGGCGCGTAGCGAGCGGATAGACAGCAAGATAAGGGCTGAGCTCAATTTGAGAAATCGAAGCTCATTGATCAATTTATATATTTTTTAAAAGTGTTGCGTTTTCAGTTTTTCATCTGTATTTTGTGTGTCGAGAGTATTTGACTTTAAATAGTCGTTGGAGGGTTCTGCCAGTCAGGACTCAGGATGTCGGGGTCAGGCTTCTGTTCGCTCTTTCTATTTATTTGTTTGTTTGTTTTTTAATAAATTAATAATATGTATGAAGAAGTATATATATTGTCTTTTTTCAACACCACAACAAAAGTATAATTGTGTTTTGTGTGTTTCAAAGTTGCACGGTTTCAATATAGTTGCACACAGGGCTTTGGGCTTCTAAGGCACTCTCTATATCAGCCTTTGTAGAATCTATACCAGACGTTGCTGACTGCTGATTCTTCATTAATTCCGTACGAACGCCAAGAGTGCTGTCTATAATAGTGTGTGGCGTACAGGAATCTGCCACAGGGGCAGCCGGTAAAGTAATCAGATTTGTGTATGGAGCACGATATAAGGTGGTCAGATAAGTCAACACGTCAAAAATACGACCGGGGTAAATAGATAGGTGATCAGCGTGTGGTTGCAAGCAACAGCTATCAACGCCCCTACCCCGTATGATGCGTAAGCGGTCGCCATAAGAAATACTATATACCAACTAAAGGCACTGACCTCCACCCACATGTTTGTCAAGAAGTAAATAGGCGTTAAAGCGACTATTGGCAGCAGCATGTCGGAAAGTTCCTGTAAAAGTGCAGACGTAATGAAGTGTGTACCCACGCGGTACATTGCGGTATCTCGTTCTTTGCTGTAAACCTTATCATATAAAAAGTAGAACCCGGCAGCAAACTGACACGACCAGAAGCAAACAACTATCATGATTAACATAAGAGTGGAAAGCCGGCCATTCGCCTCGGTGGGTGTTTCGTACCCAATGCGAAAGAACGACAGACCAACAAGCATGCCACCAAGCCACTCGACGAATATCATGACTAGAGTAACTATATATGTTCGCTTCATCTGCACGGCTGCACGAGCTAGCAGGATCCTGAACTCGTGTGCAAGGGGTACTTGACTTTCATATCTAGCCTCAGGGGTGAGTTTGATCTTGGTTATGTCAAGTGAACCTTCAATGCGGTGTTTATGTTGAGTTGAGTCCAGACATCTGCAGGATGATCATTCCGGGTCTCTGAGATTTGCTCTAATTTTCTGGTGCGCGTGTCAATAGATGCAACATCTATTATGTGATCTGCGGCGGATTCGAATGGTGGGCATAGAAAATCGAGCTCGGTTAAGTACTGAACAACATCGTTAGGTGACCCAAAGTACACAGTGCGTCCTTTAGGTAGTACAAGGATTTTGTCGAAAGTTTGGAATACGCTTAACCGAGGTTGGTGGATAAAAGCTATGATTGCCGTACCGTGATTGGTTGCATTTTTTTTTACATAGTTCACAACTTGCCTTGCAGAGAAAGAATCGAGACCAGAAGTTGGCTCATCCAGCAGCAGAAGCGCCGGATTTTTGATAAGTTCCACTGCAATGCTAACTCTTTTACGCTCTCCACCCGAAATACCCTTCTTCCAAAAACCTCCCACCTGGGTATTTAACACGTGACCAATGCCCAGATCCGCGGCACTATTCTTGACACGTGTATTCAACTCGGCCGACATATCTTTGGGCGATCTAAGATTGGCATCTACCAGTAAGATCTCGCCTACTGTGGCTTGCTCTAAAAGACAGTCATCCTGAGTAACGTAACCCATGTGCGCTCTGAAATCTATATCTTTACAGTGCAGTCCATTGACAAGAATCTCCCCTTCGAAGATTCCTTGCATCTTTCCAGCCAGCGTATTCAGCTGGGCTGGTATGAGGCCGCGACGTGTCGCCAAAAAAAAAGATGTAAAAGACGGTCGCGATATGTCGTTTACTACTATGTCGACCTACCTCTAGACAACATGTCGTCTTGCAAGTCGTCTACAGGTGCCCATACCAGTCCATTATATACGAGGTTCAGGTGCACCTGCCCAGGTCCACTAGGACCTATAGGACTAGTCCTGATAATTGGGGTGTATTTTTTTTTCTGGGTCCTTCGTGGCAGTGTCAGTTTGACCGAATTTCACATTTGACAAATAACAACTGACACCGTGACCGTTAGGCGTTGGAGTCTCACTGTCTCAGTGTCTCACGCGCTCGGCAATATAGCCTCAGACTCGGACAGACTCACAAGTCACAACTGTACAATAACAAGTTAACAACAAAATAGACATAGTATACGCGTAAATTCGCCGTAAGCCCGTAATTAATTATATATTATATATACATACATATATCGTACATATAAAATAATCTATAATCAATTATATAATATTATATATATACATACATATATTATATATATAATAAAATATATAATATAATCTATAATCAATTATATTATATTATATATTCTATAATCAATTATATTATATCATTTATATTCATACATAAACTATATATATAATATAATCTATAATCGATTATATTTTAAAACCTCAAAGACAATTGAGGTGCATTTCCGATCGGATTTCACCAGGCAGAATAAAAAAGGTGCATTTCGTTGTTTTGACAATAGGTGTAAACCAATTTTGGACAACACTATACCATTGGAGGATTTTGTATAAGGAATTGTGATTGATCCGTTTTGATTTTTTCGAAACAAAACAGGTGCATGTTGTCTTTTGACCAAACGACATGTCGCGACGTAATTGTCGCGATGTGTCGGCATCGTAATAATGTAAAAGACGGTCGCGACGTGTCGTCACAGATAAAAGACATGTCGTTTACCAACCCAGGTATTCAGAAGAGCTGTCTTTCTCGCTCCAGAACTACCCATCAATGCAATCATTTCTCCATGATCCACTTTTGCACTAATCTTTTTTAGAACATTTTTGCTTCAATCCGTGTTGGAAACTGATACGTTTTTCCAGCTTAGACAAGGATGAACAACAAGTGTTTACCCCGACCATGATTGTTCCTGGTACCTTGCAGTTCGCGTATACGCAAGTTCTTGGCCTAACCTGTGAGGTGATGATTTGTGATTACTTCTGTGCAAGCCAATGGCTTCTGGTTTTTTCGCAATAAGTTGAAAATGAGGGGCTATAGATGTACAATGTTCTTTTTATCTGAGTTTTCGTTCTGAAGGTTCTTGACGCTTTAAAATTGTTTAAATAGCATTTTAATATGTTTTTATTTTGAAAGTATTTGCCGGTTTTCTCATTTAGGACTTTAGGTTCCAACTTGAACATAAATAGATCTACTACATTGTATTTATTTTTTGAATAGCAATGACAATTGTGTATTGGATAAAAAAACACAATTCAATATAGCCTACTATTGCTTTTTCTGGAAACAAAATCGAGCACAAAAACGGAATGAATGTTGAAGCGGAACTTGAAGTCTTGAACGATTTTATAATAATAAAAGTGTTTTTAAAAACTCAAAAGTAAATAGTACAAAGTCATAGCCTTCTGAAAATTAGACAAAAGTCTGTTCAATTTTATCAGAACTTAAAAAGTCTAGTTTTTTTTAACAAAAAAATCTATAGTCTGATGTCTTTTTATATAGAGAACTTTTTTTTGTTTTTTGTTTTTGTTCGTTTTAATTTTTGTAATATTCTGTCCTCGTCTGTCAGCTTGTTCTTTTTTATACCTAGGCGGGATGTGCTACTTTGGTTTTAGGCACCGGAGTCCGGAGGGAGTCCGAAAACCCGGGGGGGGTAGGTGGGACTTTTGACTTACAATTTTGTCCTGACCCCTATTCGTGCCCATAGGGTTTCAGGCCAGATTGGGTCTCGATACATAAAATACGTTTTCTCAGCCGCTATATCATAATCATTTCAATTTGAGCGCCAACAAGGCCAGTATGAAGTCAATATGAAGCCAATATGAGGCCAATATGAAGCCACTATGAAGCCGATTCAAAGCCAATATGAAGCCAATATAGAGCCAATATGAAGCAAACTCAAAGCCAATACAAAGCCAATTCCTAAAATATAGTCTAAATTCGCCCAAAACGAAGCCAACAACGGAAAGCCCTTATAGTCATCAGTTTTGAATACCGAACTGTGTCAATAATTTACTTAATTGTTCGAGTGTGGTAGTCCAAAACAGGCCCATATATGTAGAGAATACACTTGTTGAAGTTAAAAGTCACAAATGCACTCGAAGTCCCGTAGCACATCCGAACCGCCTTAGTCGTTCATAATTATTTATATACAAGAAGGCTATGTATGAGTATTGTATAAAAAGAGCGGAATGCCGGGTTCGAACCAGCGACCAATAGATTTGCAATCTACTACTCTACCACTGAGCTAATTCCGTTCTTAACTGATTGAGATTCTCACAATTTCAATAGATCAGATAGGAGATATCCCAACTCCCAGCCCCAGGTACAACTATTTGTTTTTCTAAAAAAAAGCCTAAGGTACAACGCCTGTATTTTAAAACCCTAAAACTTCCCCATATTTATTTTTCACTTCCCCATATTAATTTTTCACTTCCCCATATTTATTTTTCACGACGGACCTTTGATTCAAATTTTCGCCTCCGAAACGTAAATCTCGATGACCAGTAGGTCACCAGTGTAGAACTGAATACCACTTTCAAAAAAACCAACAGACCCCACCAAAACGTTGACTTGAAATTTGGATTTTCAATCAA